AAAACATGTATTTATGCACTTTTTAAAACAAAGACATGAGGCAAATATAGGTTGCATTTAAGAGCACAGTTCAGGTGTTCAGAGAAATAAGAAGTTGGGGACCTTTTGTGTTTTGAGTGGTGAAATTTGTGGAATTTGATAATCTAAATCTTACAAATCTGTCATTTCAACAATTGATACATGAAGTTTAAAAGCTTAACTCAGTAACTCAGCAGTTCCACATCCTGGGGTGAGGAGAACATGCCCTAGGGTGGCTGTTTATGCTCCAGGACGCTATAATGGTTGATTCATTTGTCTAATATAGGTGGCCTAGATACACTAACTTAAGGGAAAAAACAGAGAATCATAGGCAGAGTGGATCAAGAGGTAGGGTCCGAGAGGCTCTTTATAGAAAATATAATTAGCCTGAAGGTGGTTATATGGACCAATATCAAATATGAGAAAACAGAACTCAATGTGATAGGGAACCAGAGAGTAACAGAGGTAACTAGACCAATATTTATGGATAGGTTGAAGAGACAGGCTTCAATAAATGAAGAAATATAACTAGAAATCCAGCCCAAGAGTGAGAAAGTTCGCAAATACTTAGGTAAATAGCAGGTTGCCCCCGCCCAATACAAAACTGTGAATGTTGGGGAGACCCAAAAATACACAGTTCATTCTGGGGGAGTAAAGGGGAAAAACAGCCTTCAAAAAAGAAAAAAAAAAAAGCCCAGAAGACACCGCTAATAGTGTATCAGGAATTAAAACCCCTATTACTCGCACCACTCTGCTTGGTTGGAACTTATTCCATCCTAGTTTGTATACAAGCAAACTGGATCTGAGGGCACAGACAGCTGTCCTAAAGATATCAGGACATAGCATAGTGATCATCTTTAATTTCCTATTAACTCAATCAGGATCCCTGTATGACTTATACTGTTGTATCATGACTGATCTTAGTTAAATCTGACTTGTTTTAATACTGCTTATTACTGACAGATTTTATTCAAAACTGGTAAGTTGCTGGTTTCAAGTTGAGTATAGACAACTATACTGAAAATGACGATTCACCACAATATCCATTCTGATTTGATTAGTTTTTGTAGCTCTACACTATCTACAAATATTTCTGTTATATACTGATATGTTCAATTATACTTTATCTGATGATATAGTCAATTTTGTTGCCAACAAGAAACAGCACAGGGACCATGCTAGAACTCCTTATACAGCAGTTTTATATGTCTTTTTAGTTTTATGTGTCTATAGGAATATGTTTAGTTCTGTCCTTTGTTCTGTTTCTCCCTCTAATATAGAAAAAACAGAAATACATGTTTGCTCTTTTTTTTTTTTTTTAGACTTTTTATCGGTACTAGGGATCGAACTCACGACCGCCTGCTTGCAAGGCAGGGGCTTATGCCGCTGAGCTAAATCCCCAGCCCCTTAGACAGAAATACATGTTAAGACTCAGGCTTGCGTAAAACCTATAAACAGCTTATGAGAACTGATCTTACGACACATGATGAAATGAACAAAAACTTGCCCCAGTGCTGATTCCAGAGTGTTATGATGTGAAATCCAGCAATATTATTAAACTTTGTTCAGAAGGATTTTAATCTAGTGAGTTTTATTAGGTCTCAACATAAATGAAGATATGGATACATGCGTACATGTCTTAAGTGCATAAGATAGCCATAATACTTACTGTTGCACAGCTGAACACAACTGTTTGCAGTCTCCCTGGTTGAATTTCCATTTATATGTTCCACAGTTTTGTATTTTGAACAGCTATTTGTGGGGGGACAATATGTATACATCAACTAGTGATTTATTAGTTTCTTTTCTTTGAAAGTATGTACTATTTCTGTCCATTTTCCATTTTGTTTTGTCCTTTTTTAAATAATATTCATTTGTCAACTTGAGACATTTAGAAAGTTTAAGTGATTCAGCAGGGGGCCAAGGTCCTCACTTTGCAAACATCCTGAGCCTGTGCAAGAAGCAGGCACAGGAACAATGTGAGTGCTACACACACACACAGGCAGGTAGCCTGCATAAACATGGGAGGGAAAGCAGCTTTATTTAGCCTTTTTGCTGTTGATTTTGTTGTCCCCTGCTGCCTTGAACTGTTGCCTCAGCCATGTCATCCTGCCTCAGAGCCAGCTGATTATAGACTGAAGCCTCCACAATTGAGCTAAACTTTTCCCTTTACTGGGTGTCAGTTATTTTGTCTTAGCAAAGACAGAAAAGTAACCACGGCAGTCTGAACTAGTGGGTAGGAAAGGACAGCTCTCTTATAGTGAGATAATCGTCAGTTTGCATGGGAAACTCCACAAGGGTGGTCCACTCAGGGTGAAAGGGGACCCTTCTGTAATTATTCCACTGTGAGAGCAACTAGCTGCTTTTTCCATGGTATGGCCAGTTGTAGCTACTTGGAGGAAGTAAGTATTTCAAGGTAACAATTTGTTATCAGTAATAAAATCTGAGTTTTAGGCAAAAATCAGAACACTGGAAAAGCTGAGAGCACAGGTGATATTAGTGGTGTTAATGTAATAACAGTATGAAAAGTGTCAACATTTGGAAGATCTTTGTAATTTAGGTACACCACCTTCAGACTGACCCTATATAACGTTACTGTGCCACACGTAAGGAAAAGATCCATTCAAAATGCAAGGTAGAAAATGGATTTTTACTGCTAATCGTGACCAAACAGTTTCATTTCTGACCAATTACCTTTTACAAAGTTCCCATTTGTTGTCATGATGTAACAGGATGGCACATCCCTGTAATCTCAGGACTCAGGGATTCCAAGGCAGAAGGACTGATGTGAGCTCAAGTTCTGGACTACACTGCAAGACTCTTCTCAAAAAGCTATTTACACATTTGACTACCTAGATGTGTAAATTAAAAATATTTTGCTAATATTATAAATTTTCTTCTAAAGAATGGTTTCTTGTTAAGAATCAAGTATGACGAGTGAAAAATGGGAGCTAGTAGTGGTGGAGCAAGTATGTAATCTCAGCACTCAGAAGCTGGAGTCAGACATATTCAAGGCCAACCTGAACTGCATAGGAAAACTGACTAAAAACAAAAAACTGAGTAAAATACCCGGATAAAATATTGTATGCTCCCTATGAAGTAAAAAGCAGGCAAAACCATGTAATGTAAGTTGTGAAACAACGGAACTTAGCAGGATCCTAGCAATAATTCTTGATTGACCACTCAGGTTATTGTTCAACTTCAGTATTACGTAACTATTATGCCCATTCATCTGAAATTCCCTGTCTACTCTATATATTCTTTCTTCCTCTCTATGTCCTCCTGAGTGGCTGTAACTAATCTGATTAGTGTCTCATATTCCGTATCCACATTCCTACTCTCTTGAATTCTGTGCAACAGTCCCATTCATAGTTACACTCCTAAGAATTCCTCTTGTATAGGAGGCTAATGAGTATAACTCACTGATAAAGCACATGTTTAGCATGCATGAGGCAGAGCTCAATCCCCAGCACTAATAAATGACAGAGAAAACAGCATTATTTTGTCAACCAAGTACACAATGGAATATACCCATTTCACAGTTTACAACAGTGAAAGACTATGACTGCCCTCTCTCCACCCCAACTGGACAACTGCTGTTGGGTTAGAAATAAGTGATATGAGCTGTTAACATTTTCCTGATGTCTCTGTATTCCCCTCCCCTTAGTCTCATACTTTAGTTTCAATTTTTTTCAAGTTTGTACAAAAGTTTAAAAATTGTATACTAGGTGGTATCATGGTATGCCTTATTTTTATTATGAATCTTAGACTACATGTATTAACATGTTTACTGGGTCACATTTTTTCTACCAAGGTAAAATACCACTTTCTATAGAGGGTTGTTTGCCCTTATGGAGGTTTTGTAGAATGTGGTTTAATGAAGATACTTATAAGCAGCCAAACTACCACATGACACTGTAACTGGCAATATATATTCCCATAGCCCCGGTATCTTACATAAAGCTATTAACCACTTAACTACCTTTTTGTTTGACTAACACGACTAGAAGACTTTGCCCCATAGATACTTGATGAATGTCAGCAAGTGGTAGCTTTTGTCCATCTACTCTTGAGTGCACATAATGGATTATCTCCTACATGTCTTTCAAGTTGAGTTGTGAGTTAAAATACTGTTTGCCTCTACACATAACTTTAATTAGACACACAAGTAGGAGAAAGCCACTTGTAATTCAAAAATAAAGCCAAACATTTTGAGTAAGACTGTGTGTAATAACAAAAACTGTAATCTGTTGAGAAAGCTTTCTTAAGCAGTTTGTGAAACTTAGGTATTCAAGTATCAACAGTTTTCCTCTTTCATCCTGACTCATCTTAACGCAGTATTAAAAATAAGGTCTTTTTCCAGAAATGAAATTACTATGAATTAAATCTATAATCTAACCATCCTTATTCCTAAATCACTGACAAAAGCAAGGGAGTTTAGTTTTTGTTTTTGGTACCGATGATCAAACTCACAACCCTTGTGCTTGCCAGGCAGGTACTTCTGACACTACGCTAAATCCCTGCCCAGAAGGGGAGATTTTTGAACAATTATTCCCATACTGAGAAGTTCCCATAGAAAGCAAATAAAGTCACTGTTTTCCTTATGAGAAAGCCTATATGAAAGACACACCAGACTATTAGTATGTAACATATTCACAAAATTTCAAAACACAACTTCATCAAGATCTGTACTACAATTATCTTTAAAGAATCTTGGAAATTCCAGAATGGTTTAAGGTGAGACAGTGGACACATTAAACTTTGAAAGAAATTACTGAAGTTACTGCTTTAAATTGGAGAAAACTATGACCAAAGTCTCTTTAAAGAGTTCTTTATACAGTTGTTCTTAAAATTACTTATGTAGCTGCAGAGAAAATGTTTATCTAGATAGTAAATATCACTTATGAATGACAGAACAAAGACATTAAGCTATACGGCTTTTTTGTGACTGTTATTACTTTCTATAAATAAAATCATTACTGTTTGACTGAAAAGGTTAACACTTTTATTAAATCAAGTTTAAAAAAAATTGTTCACTGTAGAAAAGTCAACAAGGGTTTTAAAAGAACCAAAATATATCATTTTATAAAATATATGTATATATTAGCAGCAAACTACTTCTGAGTTTTTTTTTTAGTTATTTATTTTAATGAAAGCATAAAACATTGTATATTAGTTATGGAATGTCAGCAGATCCACTCTTCATCCTTTATTCTGTAATGTGGCCCTTCCACCAAATACTTTAGGATTCCATTACTGAATACTAAGAACAAATTTCATTTTGACTAAAAAGTAGTGAAACAGTGACTGGTAAAAACTTACCAGTTGCACATTATTTTTGGGAGTAACAAATGAGCACCACAATACAGGTAACAGTGTGTAAACTCAATTTTTAAGATGTAAGCAGCCAACTATTCCATTTAACATTTGTTACATTTTAAAAATTCAGTGACATATAAAATTTTAATCAAGTCAGATAAACACTTCAATCCTATATTGCTTTTCCATTTTTAAAATCCTTAATAGAAATTCTGTATGTAACCTGACAAATTGCATGCAAAGATATATATGTAATGTATATATGTATACATACAAAAATGTATGCATATATATCTTTAGCTTTGAATGAATTTCTTTAAACATCTTATTTGTCTATAGAATATATTACCACCTGAAAGTTTCTACTGTAAGTCTCATCTTACTTATTGAGAAACACTGGCTATTTGAAGGTTCTGAGACCAAAGAGCTGTTATACAGCTTGGGATACATCAGGCTTCCAATTAGTCAAATAAGATTGAAATGACCTGCTGCCCATCAAAGAAATGTATTTTTAAAATTTTAGTTGCTAAAGAAAAATCTCACTAGTTTTCAAAAATACTAAATGTTATATAAATACAATTTTTTTCATAGTTGAATTCTAGAATGTATTTTTAAAAATTTCCTTTGGGTTATTCCATTTAGCGCTTCAAGTTTCCATTCTGCAACTCTGACAACTGGCTCAGATTTGTTAGGTTTACATCAATAGCATCTTTCAGAATTTGCTACTGTTGCTTGTGTACATAAAAGCGTATGGAAGGAACTACACCAAATTTCAAAAGCAACACAGCAATGAAAAATCCAATCACATGTAATATCAAAAAAGATAAAGTACAACAGGGATTCCCTTCTACCACTACATTAGTGAAATATAATCTTTTTCATGCTTTTAAAGTAATAATGTAACTTTCCTTTTTTTATACGTATCAAGAGGATAAAATAAAAACTTTAGGTGGCCCACCTTTATTTTTTTAATTAAAAAACTTAAATAGATTGAAGTACTTTTATTAATATACACATCAAGTTATTGAAACGATGACTTCATGTAATTTTCCCCCTTCAAGATGGCACTTGCAGGTACAAAGATGCAGAGGACTACAGATGTTAGATGTTTACTTGAAAAGATTCTTCAACAGCAGTTTGATACTGGGTTTCCTCATCTAGCTGAAGATTCTTTTAAAAAAAAAATTAACATGTCATTAGGAAAATACTCAATCATTCAGTGTTTTTCCTACTATATTACACACCTGGATATACATTATACATACTCAAGGACAGTTTACATACAGCATAAAGTATACTTTAAAATGTAAGATTAAGCAAGGCACAGTGATGTGCCATTCACAATAATCCTTACTCTTTTTTTTTTTTTTTTTTGTCTTTTTCCTTTTTATCAGTACCAGGGATCGAACTCACGACTGGCTGCTTGCAAGGCAGGCGCTTATGCCGCTGAGCTAAATCCCCAGCCCCAATAGTCCCTACTCTTGATGGTTAGAAAGAAAGGTTATTTGAGCCCAGGAGTTCAAGCTAGCCTGAATAATACAGCAGGACCCTATGTCTTAAATAAACAAACAACATTGAAATGCTTCAACTTTAATTAAAAATAAGGTTCAGTTAGTTATTCAGGAATAAATAACATCAGAAGATTGGCAGAGAATGAAACTTATAGTGCCTGGTAATAATTAATAAAAATTTTACTTAATTGTAATCCAGTCATATGAGGTAAATTTGTGTTCTTTCTAAAAAAGAATGTCAAATATCTGAAGGCAAACTAATTTTAAAGAAAATATGCATTTATTAACAGTTGAGTAATTAACAGCTCTTCAACCAAAACATGAAACAAAAAACTACAGCTCATTCACTCTGAATTAGGTGAGAAAAGTAGTTCTTAGCTGGGAGTAGAGCTTGGTGGTGGAACATGTCTGTATTATCAGCATGCACAAGTACATGCTAACATACAAAACAGAACAGAACAAAACAAACAAAAAACAACCACCTACTCCTTAACTTCAAAAATGCTATTTGGGCCAGATTTAGCTCAGTGCTTGCCTAAATTCAAGTTCCAGGACCAAAACAAAAAAGAATTTAAAAAATGCTATTTGCTATCAACTTTATGTCCCATGATTTTGCTTTAAATTATAAAGGCTTCTACTTAACCTCAAAAAAGCCACAGTTTTCTATGGCCAGGTAAAACAATCCGACAATTAGATCAAAAGTAGTTCAGGAAATATTTTTTTTTTTCAAAATATAGTCCTCCAGACACACTAATTTTTCTTATGAGGAAAACTGAGTACTACTCTACAGTTATGAAATAAAATTACTAAGACAACAGAGTACATGTCAACTTTACCTACACTTTTAATTGTTTTGAAAAAGATTATTAAACATGCAATTCATTCACTTATAACTGTTTTGAAAAAGATTAAACATGCAAATTACCACCAAATTGAAAAAAGTGTCAAAAATTATATAATTTTGACATTGGAGAGGAAAGGAAAAATGTAAACTTTGTCCATGCCTTTGTGAGAATTGCACATACTTGTGCTTACCTAAACAAGTATCACCCATTCTTTGTCACAATTAATTTTGAATTAGATTTAACTACATTCAAGTTCAGTAAAATCCAATTTTCATAAATAATAAAAAACCACCTAATTTTTAAACAAAAATCCTAACAACATTTTTGCTTTGGGGAACCTCTTGTTTTATTTTGTTTCTGCAGTAAGGGGACTGAGCAAGGACTCTGTGTACGAAAAGCACACAGGTTCCCAGCCTGGGTGGAGTCACTTTCACATAACTACCTCCACTCACCTTGTTAACCTGTCAACTTGGCTTTACAAAATAACTAAGCTCCTCCATTTAAAATCAAGGTAAAAAGTAAATAAACTTGGTTTCATGTGCTGGAGATGAGACACTGTTACAGTGGGTTTAATAAGCAATTTACACCTGATAAGAAATACATCCTCCTCAATATGCTGTTCCAATTTTACTTGTCAAATACAATTTTTCCTTAATTTTATAGATAGTTTTTCTATAAATCACCATTTATCTGGAAGTTTGTTCTTCCCTTTTTCTTTTCTTCCAATTTGTCTGAGAGAGTCTTGCTTGGTAGTCCAAGTTAGCCATCAACACCCTATTTAGTTCAGGCTGGCTTTGAGCTCACTCGTAATCCTCCTGCTTCAGCCTCCAAAGTACTCTGGGATTCAGGCACTCATCACAGTGCCTAGCAGGAGTTTGATCTTTTCTTAATGCTCTCTCTAGTATAGACAGTAAATTCAACTCTCACCATTTCTTTAAAGTTCACCAATATTATTATATATAAGAACGTACTCTACATCCAGTCAGTATGATCCAACTACTTGCCTTAAACCTCAAGTCTAGATTGAAGAGTTAATTTAATTTGAAAATTTAAACAGTACTTTCTTAATCTGGAAGAACTCACCACAAATTCTCCATAATCAAATTGATGTCTTTGATTTAGATGACTAACGAAATTTCTAGTAATCTGGCTAGGATCTCCCCAAGGAAGAGACACACAAATAGGACATGTCTACAAAAAACAGATTGTTTTGAATAAAAAAATAATGAAAACAATCAAGTGTTACATAATTATTGAAAGTATTAAAACAACATAGGCTTTCATATTACTGAAAACTTCAGGCATATCTTGTTTTACTACACTTTGCTTGCATTTTATACCAAACTTTTTTGTACAAACCGAAGGCTTGTGGCAACTCTGCATGAAGTAAATCTACTGACATTTTTTTCAACAAATTAACTGATCATTAATTTCCTTTTCTGCAATTTCAGTATTAATCAAAGTATGTACGCTGGTTTTGTTAGACAATACTGTTGCAGACTTAAAAACGACAGTGTCAAATTATTTTTTATTTACATTGGAAGTTTTTTAAAATTTTAATAATTTCATTTTAACTTGCTTTATTGGAGAGCTAAAATCAAACTGCAGCATTTTCAAGGCAGGCCTATACATGAAAACCATTTCAAAAGGCCAAATTCCATGATTACATCACTTCCAACCAAATTACCTCAAATAACAGTAATATAACACCATGTAATGAGAACTCTTATTTTATTACTTTAGTCTCCATTTACAGTTTCAACAGAATCACCACATCCAGCCTTTATAACAGAGTTATCATTAACTGCCTAAATATAATATGTAGTATATAATCTCATTTGATCTATAAAAAACTATTATTAGCTTCATTCATTTGTACTGAAAATGAAGTAATCCTAAAGTTTAAGTGGTAGCCTTAAAGTTTTAAATGAAATACTACAACTTTAAAAACGGATGAAATACTGAAATGATATAAAAGGAACCGCCACTAGTAACAGTTTACAATACATTCAATACTATATAGGAAAAACAACTTGGTAATCCAATATAAAAGTGAAATCTCTTAGATATGAAAGGATTTCCTAGGAACTTCCATTGGCATTGTTTATCTGAAAGAAGCTGATGCCCTTTCAAAAAGCAAGGTAGGTGATAGTTTCCTGAGGGATATGCAAGAGTTTAAGGCAATTTTCAAGTCAGTGCAGGGTATGCTTTTCACAAATTGTCCTAACATCCAAAAAAGTACCATTTTTGTTGATATTCAGATTTTTGAAGACAATAGTCACACCAAAATGTTTAGCTGAAAGGGCAGTAAGCTCTTTTCAGTTCAGTAACTCTTATTCCACAAGTCACAGTTAAAAGTCACTTCTCTGGAAACTCATCTCCAAAGTGAGTTATTCTAAAACTACTGCTACTATGTTGGAACCCACTCAGCTCTCTTTCATCAAATAGGTCCCATCACCCTCAAAATGCCATCAAAGACTTGTGTGTATATCAGAAACAAAGTATGATTCTTTTCCTTCTTTGTTTTATAAAGTCGTATACTGTAAGTCCTATAAAAGTACAAATTAAAAATACCTACTGGCTTTAGTCTTATTTATAAGTGTTTTCACCTGCAACAGATCCATCTGATTACACTCACAAGACTACAGCTGATAGAGCAAAAAATTAAAAGGCCCAACAAAAATACACTCTGCCATTACTCAATAATCAATCCCATATTCTTTCCATTTTTTTTCTCTAGACTGTTCTATACCACATCACAACAAGCATCTCCAGTTTTATGATTTAAATTACTGGAATTTTAATTCACTTTTATAGTCATCAAATCATTTGACAAAAGTCTATCTTACTGACAGCAACTTTTCTGTTTTCATATTTTTGGTTTGGTTTGGTTTGGTTTTCTAAGAGCATCTCACTAGGCAGTTTGGGCTGGCCTTGAACTCACTATGTAACTAACCCAGGTTCACTTCGAATTTGTGGTGACCCTCTGGCTTCTGCCTATCAAGTGCTGGGATTCCAGGTGTGTACCACCTCACTCGGTCCCATTCTACATTCTACATTCTACATGGGAATCCAACTCAAGATCTAGCGCTTGCCAGGCAGGCACTGCACCACTGAGCCCTGCCTCCCCACACTAAATTTAAATCAATGATCTTTCCTTTTCTATATATGAAATGAAATAAAACGATCAGCATGCACACTTGTACTTACCACAGGTACTATCTGAAATAGGTGGTTACTATTACAGTGATCCAGTAAGCGTTGTCTGGTAAAATTGGTCTCTTGACATAAGGGACACTTAAAGGTGGGATGCCCAGAAGAACTAATAAATAAATAAATAAAGTTTATTCAGCTAACAAATCATAACAAGCCATTCAAGAATTATGTCACTTTAAAATTATGTTTTCAACAAATGATCTAGACAGCAAAAGTTCTCAATCTCAACTGATAGTACTACTGCTTGTTAATCTTTTCATGATGCCCAAAACAAAAACACTTAGCTGTTTGGTAGTAGTCTGGACCTCAATTATAATCTCTCATGTAATGCCAACAAATGTCATTGTGTTCCCCCAAAATAGTCTGGACCTCAATTATAATCATTCATGTAATGCTAATGAATGTCACTCTGTGTCCTCTAAAATCTTCAATAACTTGCAATGCCTCACAGTTTGGAAACCTTGTATCCCATAGATTTAGGGGTATAAACCTTTTAAAAGGCTTCCATCATATTTAAGACATATACAAAATGGCCACAATTCTCATCTCATTTCTTGGTAGCTTGAATGACAGTGAAACATGTTCATCTATCTTGCACCCTAGGAATTTACCATACAACACACACACACACACACACACACACACACACACACACATCACCAAAATAACGTACTTCAAAATATTCTAAAGATCAGAGGCTGGGGATTTAGCTCAGCAGCATAAGCGCCTGCCTTGCAAGCAGGCAGTCGTGAGTTCAATCCCTGGTACCAATAAAAACGAAAAAGACAAAAGAAAAAACCCAAAATATTCTAAAGATCAAGCATCACTGGGTTTTTCATTATCTTCAACAGTCACCAAGGGACAGTTTCAACACTACTAACTCTACTTAAGCAGTGCATGGAAGAAACCTGACTACAGTCAAAGAGAATTGTTTACCTCTTATAATTTTTATGTATGTAGCCCAGGTTGGCCTCAAACACACAGAACCTCCTGCTTTAGCCACCTGAGTGCAGTGATTACAGGTACATGCCACCCCCATCTTCGTTAATCTGATATAAATCTTAAAAGCAGCAAGTGTGTTATTTCTAAGCTACTAATGTCTAGCACTATAAACTAGAGAATTGAGTAAAAGTTTAGCTCAAAAATCTAGAACTGAAAGAAAAAAATGACTGGAATGCAGCTGTGATAGAGCACTTGGCCTAGCATGTACAAAGCCCTGAGTTCACTTCTCAGTATCACAAACCTACCCAAAAATTAGTATTTGATAAAGTGATGAATATTATTTAGTGAAGTGGTAGTATTTTTCAAAAGCTTACCTTGTAGTCTCTTGGTAAGTATCTGTATTATCAGATGTGGATGTTTCACTCCTATTACTAAAGCAGCAAAGAGAAAGAAAAGTTAATACTCCAAATAATAAAGTCCATTAGAGGTTAACTTGAACTGTTAATAAAGACTACACTAAATTTGTTTCAAAACTCTGAACTTCAAATGGTTCTTGACTATAAAATAATTAAGGCATTAACTACTTCAAGTAAATTAAAATAGGACTGCTTATTAGGGTCTTACTCATGTCTTTTAAAATGAATAAGCAGTTACAAAAGTATTAGAGTATGCAGAATTTTGCATTTATCTTAATTCTATTCCTCTACCAGTAGAATTTTAATAATGATGTAGACTCATCCATGGTGGGCATGCCTATAATCCTAGCACTTGGGAAGCTGAGACAGGAGGATCACTGTGAGGCTAAAACCAGCTCAGGCTACAAAAGCAAGTTTAAAGCCAACCTACACTACACAGTAAAAATCTGTCTCCAAAAGAAAGAAAAAACAAAAAAAACAAAAACACACTTTTTACACACAGTTATGAAATGGTTTAAGGTTACAGCCTCCTTCAAATGAAGCAGGTTTAAGAAAATATCTGAACATTTTAAATGGTTATATTTTATTCTCTTAAAAGAAACAAACTAGGCTTCACTACATTTACTACGTAGAACATTCTGATATCTTTACTTGTACCCTACACCCAAGTCACACAGATAAGGAATATTCTAGAATCCTGAGAAAAGACGTGGCTGCTCCATCCAGGGACTGTCACTTATCAGCTAAAGATTTCATTCATGTGGTCATTTCCATAAAGGTTCTTCAGCTGGGCACGGTGGCATACACATGTAGTCCCAACACTCAACAGGCTGAGGCAGGTAGGAAGCTCACAAGTTTGGGGACAACTTGCTTTGCACTTAAATTTTACATAAATTATCCAGCTTTTGGGGCCAGGGATTTAGCTCAGCAGCATGAGCGCCTGGCTGGCAAGTGCTAGATCATAAATTCAATCCCTGGTACCAAAAAAAAAAAAAAAAAAAAAAAAAACATTATCCAGCTTTCAAAAGATGTGCACTGTTTTAAAATAAACATACAAATACTGGAAATACATATTTAATTACTTTACTGACAGGATAGTATGCAATCTTGAGGGTCCCAAGTAATCTTTTAAATTTTTCTGATTTTAAATTTTGAAACAAAGTTACTAAACTGCCTAGGGTGGGCTCAAACTCTGAAATCTTCTTGCCTCAGACTCACAAAGTGTAGGGATTCCAGGAATGAGGTATCCACCTTAAGAAAGTGATTTTCAATGTTTTTTTGTTTTTGTTTTTGTTTTTTTTGCTTTCTCATTACAGCTACTTTCCAGTATGACCTGCATTATCATCACTCTAGTCTTCCATAGTCATCTTTGTATCACATTATCCAGAAATGTGTAGTTTTATTTTGCTTTGTTTTGTTTCGAGACCGTGTCTAGCCACATTTATGTTTCCCAGACTGGGCTGGAACTTGAGATCCTTCTGCAGCCTCCAGGATGCTGGGATTAAAGATGTATGCTACTGTGCCTGGCTCAACCATATCAACTACTAAACATACAACTGCAATGTTCTGCTTCTATTCTATTCTATTTCTTTAAAACAAGGTCTTGCTCTGTAGTCCAGGCTGACTTTGAACTCACTATACAGCTGAAGCTGGCCTCCAATGTATGGCAATTATCCTGCTTTGGCTTCCTGAGTTCTGGGTTTATAATTGTGCATTGACATCTGAGGCAGAATATGTATTTTAAACCCAAGATATCAGAATATTTGGGTCCGTACTTTAGACCCCAGATATCAGTTAAGGCAGACATGTGTATTTTGTGTATAAGTTTCCATGAACTATTCTGATTTGAGTAGATCCATTTAATAAAGAAGTCAAATTCCGGACATCATGGAGCATATGCAGCATATAAATATTTTTAAAGTTACTTTACGCCGGGGATATAGTTCAGCAGCATGGCACTTATCCGGCAAGCACAAGGTTATTAGTTTGATTCCCAGTACCAAAAAAGTAAATTAATAAAAAAATAAAGTTACTTTAAAACTCTAAAAGGAATATCAATGTTAAAAACTATAGTAAGCATCATAATTGATGGTAAAATTTTCTATTACATTCCCATTAAAATCAAGAGGAAAAAAAGATGCCTATTACATAACACCTGGATAGAGACCCTAAACCAAAAAGCAATAGAAAAAAAATTATAAAGTAAAAATAGTAAATAAATAAAAACCTATGGAGAGGGGCCAGCAATTTAGCTCAACAGCATAGCATCTGCCTGGCAGGTGCAAGGTTCTGAGTTCAATTCCTTAAAAAGAAAAATAAAAGAACCTATGGGTAAATCATTAAACTCTGAAATAAGCGAAATTAGGCCGGGGATACAGCTCAACAGCACAGGACCTGCCTGGTAAATGTGGTTTCGATTCCCAGTACCAAAAACAAACAAACAAACCAAAAAAAAAAAAAAAAAAAAAAAGCAAAATTGCTAGAAAAAGATTATGGGTAAAAATCTATAATAGTCCTGCTCATTAGTAACAAATACAATTTTTAAACACAAAAAAGTCCATTTATCTTGCTACAAAACCTTAAAAGGTTTTGCCAGGAAAAAACCATTTATACTAGCAAAGGGTCAAGAAATAACTTTTACTTTGTTTTTGTTTTTTTGGATACAGAGCCTGTCTATGTAGTATATGCTGGCCTTGAACTCACTTATGTACCCCAGGCTGACCTCGACCTCACAGTAATCCTCTTGCCTCAGTCTCCCAAATGCTCAGAGTATAGATGTATACCACCATGCCCAGTCTAAGAATGGCGTATTTGTAAAAATTAAACCAAAGAGGAAATTGTCCTACCTGATAAGATTTACTATGAAAATCATAGGAATTAACATAGTGTGATGGTGTGGGGTAGTAAGATTACAGAGATGTGCAGGACAGAGGTGCATTTTAACTTAGTTGAGCAAAGAATAGATTCCTGGATGAGTAACAGTAGGACAATCAGTTATGCTTCCATCTCAAAATAAAAGCTGGGATATAGCTTAAGATAAAGGTTTTACATTAAATTAAATCCCTGGTACTACCAGAAGAGACAGAGACTAAGACAGAAGAATGTAATAATAGTATCCAGTCTCAATTTTTATATGACTTTATCAGAATAAAATTTTCAAGTAATTATTTGTTAGAAAACAATGAAGTTGAATTTTAATTTTCAATTACATTGCTAAAAAGGATTTTTCTCTAAGTTTTCAAGTCATTCCTGCTGCAAAATCAATTTTTAAAAGGCCTAACAGAACTGTACATTCTAGGAATGATTTTAAATACCAAAAGCTTGAGAACATCATGAAATCATTCTAGACACAACTGATCTACATACAATTAAATATGCCAAATAAGTTGGGGTTTTGTTTTGTTTTTTTGGTACTAGGGATAGAACTCATGACCTCACGCTTGCCCGGCAGGCACTATGCTGCTGAGCTATATTCTCAGTCCACCAAACAAATTCTGAAGGAAACTGCCATAGGTTCTGATACTTAATGTAATTTTAACACAATTAAAATGCATATATATAATTTTAACACAAAATATATATAGATATGCCCCAAAACAATTCCACTTCAATTATAAAAATTCTACTTTTAAGGATGCATATGGCTTACCTGTTCCCTACAGAATCTTGAGAAATCTGAAAGTTTGGAATGATAGAAGAAACACCATATTCATCCTGATACTTCTTACAAGATTTATAATGATGTCTCATACGATAAAACTTAATCTGCAAATTAATGATTAAAAATGTGATTTTTAAAACAATTCAAGATGTGAGATATTATCAACAAAAAGGGATAAAATATTAAATATTTCATTTAAGCAACATCTTTAAGACAATGATGTATTTCTTTAAAAACTGTTTTACTGGGGCTGGGGATTTAGCTCAGCAGCATAAGTGCCGCCTTGCAAGCAGGCAGTTGTGAGTTCAATCCCTGATAAAAAGGAAAAAGACCAAAAAAAAAGAAAGAAACTGTTTATTAAGTATCTTTTGCGGTACATAATTACATTCATTATGGGGAGTCAATACATAATACATAGCCCATCTTAATTCTTTTACTTTCCCCGAATTCTTAAGTAGGTGCTAAAAATAGCTAATATATTTTCCTTCTGCAGATGCAAAGGCCATAGACAAAAAGCCTATCTTCCACGAATACTCCCCCAAGATTAGTAATTTTATACTTGATACTTTTTTTTCTTCAGTAGAGACAGGGTCTTACTATGTAGTGCAGGCCGGCCTTGGACTCACTATGTAGCGCAGGCTAATCTTAAACTCTCACTGATCCTCCTGCCTGTCTCTGCGTGTTGTGATTACAGGTGTGCATCACCATGTCCAGTTGAAATACTATTTTTAAAAAATGAAAAGTATTAAGAAGTTGCCTCAAGCTATTGGCCATTTCTTTACTTAAATGCTTTATCCAGGAAGAATTTCAAACTATTTTTAAAAAATTAAGTTCCCAGGTTAATACCAGAGATATTTTTCAGTTTCTTACTGAAGGGTAAACCCGGAATCTATGATGTATTTTCCAGCTTCCTTTTATTGCCATTCAGTTCAGAACTTCCTCCAAAGAGATGGAAAAGCAGAGCTGACTTGCATGAATACATGAAATAGCAACAGATTTTGCTCACTGACTTTATTAGCTTTTAGAAAAAAAGTCTCCAATAAATCTATAGGTACATAGATACACTCCTCACCACTTTATTCCTTCTCCGAACAGAATAATGAAACCAAGACCAGTGAATGTGGGTGACTTGCCAATACCTGATTTTTCCATCTGTTCCTTAAAACTAGATCAAAGTCCTCCACAAACTTATATTATTTTCTAAACAATTACATAAATAAAATGGGCAGCTAGAAAGTTCCTTAATTATATCCATTTGGCCAAACTACTAACATTTCTGCATGTAGAGTTGCAATAATGATGTTACTGTTAAAAAAAAAAATCAAAAACATTAAAAAAAGACAACTATTGAAGGGTTGAATCTGTAAACACAATGGGATATGAATTGGTTAAATGTTTCGTTAGTTAATTTAGTGAATAATCAATGATCAAGTACTTCAAGGAAAACACCATAAACATTGTGGGAAATTCAGAGATTTTTATTGTTCAGCTTCGGTTCCCAAAACGCTTATATTCTAACAAATTCTAGTCATACCTTTTTTGAGTTTTCTACCTAGTTCTCAACATAAATAACATCTTTCTCTTCAAAATAGCACCCAAGATGGACATTCAAACAAAAACTTCACAGTAAAATTTTTAACTTTCAAAGAACTATGTTACATTGACTCTACCTGTTTTGCACAACATCTGCAGCTACCAGAAAACTTCCGCATGATGTTTTCAAGATCTAAGGCTCGTTCTGGACATGCTCTTTCTCTTCTAGTCACATTTCCACGACACAAGGGACAGTGTATTCCACTTTCTCTCATTGCAGTCAGGAAACATTTTCTACAGAAACTAAACCAAACATTTGTGAAATATTAACCACAGAAAAATTACTTTTCATTTGTAATTAAAAACAAGTGATTGTAGATATACATTTATGCTAAGTCAGTCAGGCTATTCAAACATATGGTGTGATACCACCTTTTAAATTTTAAAATATTACTGCAAAAATACATTGTCAAAATCTCCCTCAAAATACTCCACTCTTGCTTTAAACAAACCCATCTCAGCACTGTTTTCAGTTTCTTGTAACAATTCTGGCAGTCCTCTTTCATGAGTGTCCATAGCATGACTGCTTTGATGTCACGAATTAATCCAAAACATCTATCTTTCATAGTCATTTTTGACTTGAGAAAAGAGCCAGAAGATGCAGTGTCAGACTTGGCGACACGCCTAAGTGCTTTTGAGAAAAATTGCTATAAATATTTTGAATAGATTCAGGATATTGAGGCAGCCACAAAAAGAAAACGCATGAAAAAAGCACTTTCAGAACTGCTTCAAAAAGAGGCAAGATATGACTGGGGATTTAGCTCAGTGGCATAAGCTCCTGCCTGGCAAACACAAGGTCATGAGTTTGATCCCTGGTACCAAAAAAAAAAAAAAAAAAAAGAAAGAAAGAAAAGAAAAGAAAGTGGCAAAACAATGGAATAAGTATGTTTGAAAGTTTGAAACGAAGAGGAGTATTTTGAGAGTAATCAATCAATGCTGATGTGTCTTTTACCACAACACATTTTCAATTTTTAAATATTCTATTTTTGGATCACATCCTCTATAATATCTCAAAAATTCAAGAAGTGTATATATTTCAAAGCCTAAGACTCAGTATATGCAGTAGACAACATGAAAGAATCTACAGTCAAGTCTACTTTACAACTTTTAATGATATATGAAAAGTTAATATTATAAACATGGTCCAAAGAAAGAACTGAAGCTTACTCTGGCTCTGTCATTTAGTAGCTGTAAGAAGCAACACATTTTCTCCCTTTACAGAATAAAAAGATAAAAACATAGCAGTCTCAAACTGCTGTATGTAAAAATGTTGTTTCACAAAGTGTGATTAGTCTGGACTGTGGTTCAGATGAAAAGCATCTAGAATAGGTGGGCTGAGTTTGACTCCTCAGCAGTGTCAAAAGCACAAGTAGAGTACATAGACTGATTTCAGAAATTCTAGGATAAAGTTTCTCTACTAAAAGAAAATATTAAGTCTTGTACAATCTTATTTGATCAGGATATTTAAAAACTTACCAAGAAAGTGTCCAAAAAACACAATTTGAAAAATACTTAAGAATATTTCCAGCTTTAAACATTTATCGCCAACAATTTAAGTGGAACAAAATTTTAAAAAAGAAAGAAACCCTGCTCTTCACCGATAACCACATTTAATTATTTTGCTTTTAAGAGAACTAGATAGATACCAGCAAGCAAGCCCAATTTGGGAACCAGTGGCATATGCAGGCCGCCGTCAGACTGAGAACAGCAAGACCCAAGCCTGTCCCATAAGTCAGTGCCATTCATGGACCTGGGGGGGGGGGGGAGAACAAGGTAATAAAAGCAAGTAAGTCCAGTATGGGAACCAGCACCATGTGTGGGCCACCAACGGACAGAACAGCCAGACTCCAGCCCTTTCCGGCACACGGGCTAGCAAACAAGTATTAATCCTCCCATACCGCCATCACCACTATAAGCGACCAGCTTACCCAGAGAAACACAGGCTGCAATGATAGCTATGGAGGTGAAATGCAATTGGATGCCTATGGTGCTTTGGTGTTTCACTAACATTGCAGGTCTAGGGTCAGTGTTCTGATCACAGGTTCAGAAGAAGTATGCAGTGTGGCATGCGGGGCGGGGGATCTCTTTCTGAAGCTTATAGCCACTGTTGATTCCCTATGGTCTTGTTTTGAAATCCTGTGTCCTTTCCATTGTTTTTGTTGGGTTGGGCTTTATTCTTCTGTTTTGTTTGTTAAATCCTATGGCAGGACTACCCATTCCAAAAACAGCAAGATGTATTATGGTAGCAAACTTGAATTTACTATTGACTTGTTTTGAAATCCTTTACTGCATATTGTTCTGTTTTTATTGTTTCTATTCTATTCTGTTGTTTTATTTTTACTATGTCCTAAGTTATTGGCAGCTAGTTTGAGGACATCAAAAGGCATTACGGTAACTATTGTTGATTTCATGTTTTAAAGTCCTGTATCTCTTACCACTGGTTTGTTTTGATTGGTTTTATTGTTTTATCCCCTTTAAAATTAAACTTTTTAAAAAGAGGACTAGATAAGTCAGATGTTTATACTTGAGAGTCAAAGACAGTACACGTTTTATCTGATTCCCTATAATACAAAATAAACTAATATGCTTCACTTACACAAATCAAAGTGAGAGGGGCTGGGGATTTAGCTCAGTGGCATAAGTGCCTGCCTTGCAAACAGGCAGTCGTGGTTTGATTCCTGGTACCGATAAAAACGAAAAAGACCAAAAAAAAGAAAATCAAAGTGAGAGATAACAGCACAAGAGATCACAGAGCTGAGCGTGGTGATGCAAGCCTGTAATCCCAGCACTCAGGAGGCTGAGGCAGGCGGATTTATTTGAGGCAGGAGGATCCTTACAAATTCGAGACAGCCTGGGCTACAAAATGAGTTTAAGGCCAGCCTGAACTGTACAGCGAGACCCTGTCTCAAAAAGACCAAAAAATAAATTTAAAAAAATCTCATAATTTGAGTTCCCTACCAGACCACATAGCAGTGAACAAGTACCATTCCCCCTATAAAATCAGTTTCCTCACCTACAAAATTGTAAAAGTATCTACAATTAAATTGTTTAGAGGATTAAAATACGTGATACATGTAAACTACTCTATTTATGACAATCAGGAAAGTGCTCAATAAATAGCAGTGAATACCATTAAAGTGGTATTAAAAATTATCAAGTAAGACTATAAATTAAAATCACCTCATATTAAAAATTATTTTAAAATCAAAAATAGGCATCAAATTTTACCGTGTAATTATCTACAACTGTAAAATTTCAATGAATTAATCAGTGAAGATATAATAAAATGAGTGTTTTATGTTTCCAGGTACCAATATTTCAATACTTAGCAAAATTCTTAAAGCAGTGATAGTGAACCTTTAAGCGTTTTTAATATAACAAACAGCCCACTGTGGCACAACATGCCACAGGATCTCCACCACTGCCTTAGTAGGCATCTCAAAAGCCACAGTGCCATTTTGATTTTTGGTAACTCTAGAAATTTAGGTTCTCAGTCTTACAAAGCAATGATTGAAAGTTTATTTAAGTTAAAGACTGAAAGGAAAAATTTTATTTTAATACTTCTTTCTGGCTAATACTTGCATTCTTCAGAGGGAATGAAAACAAAAAAAAAAGGAAGGACAAAAATTATATACTGCTCTCTCTCCAACAAAACTGGCAACTGGAAAAACAATCCAAATCATGATATAGATGGTGCAGGTGCAGGTGCAGAAAGGAGGACAGGATTTTTATTTTACAGAAAATACTCTCAATGTTTATGACTGCCTGTGCAATAATGCAGAAGGAGTGTCTTAATTACTTTTCTGGTGGCTGAGACAAAATACCCCATACCCAAAGTTAAAGGAGAAAAGATTTTTATTTAGATCACAAGAGGTTTCAGTTCATAGCTGGCTGCTCCACAGCAGAGGAGAAACAGTTCATGGCAGGTCGAAGGCAGCAAACAGCAATACCAACCCTGTTTCTGTCCCTTGTATTTAATCCAGGCTACCTGCCCTTAGGGCAGATATACCTATCAAACCTATCAGTGCAATAATTTAGTAATTACATACCCTTGATCCCAGCATCACATTCTCCCAGCATCATTCTGAGAAGCCCTACAAATGACCACGAGGCTCATCTAGACATGAGCCACAATGCCCCTAACCTCCCAAACTTACGAACCTTCTTTTATGCACAAGGAAATTAGTTCATCTCTAAGAGTTGCCAAAGTCCCAGTAGTTTCAGTGCTGGGGATACAGCTCAGCCACATAGCACCTACCTTGCAAATGCAAGGTCCTGAGCTTGATTCCCAGTACCAAAAAAAGTCCCAATAGTTTCACTATTGCTTAAAAGATCAAGTCCAAAGTCTCTTCTGAGATTTTTGTTTTTGATTCTTTAGAGACATGGTCTCACTATGTAGTGCAGACTGGCCTTAAACTTGTGTGGCCCAGTCTGGCTTCAAACTGATGGTGATCCTCCTGTGTCAGCTTCCAAAGTGCTGAGATTACAGCCATGTGCCACCACACCTGACATCCCTGTGATTAAGTCAAACTCTTAGCTGAGAGCCCCTGCACAAATGAAAGAAAGTTAAACACTTGCAACATATAATGGCACAAGATAAATGTATCCATTCCAAAAGGTAAAGTAAGAGAAATACAAAGGAATGGGAACAAAGCAAGTCCAAAACCAATAAAGGCAAACATTAAGTCCTGTAGTTAAAGGTCAGCATCTGAGTCAATCTATGGTTAAGATATGAACTCCTAAAGGCTTGGGTGGTTCCACCCCTACCAAGTGCTGGTGGCTATAGCCACCACAGCTTCTCTCTTGAGCTAGTTCTATTCCCTCCCTGAAGTTTTCCTCAAATTAATACATGTTCCTGGCTTCTCCAAACATCTGGAGTCTCAACATTTACAGCCTCACACACTGTCCTCTCAGGTGCACACTGCCTGGCCCTCCAGATCTCTTTGCATTCTGCATGCACGTAAAACCAGCACAATGTGAATGATGCCAGGATCTGCTACTAGCTGGAACAGTAGGTAGACTTTCTTCTCTCTTGGCTATAGGGGCTGAGTGCCTAAGAACCAAATCCTAAGGAACAACTTCCCTGGGTCTCCACCATGCTGGAACGCGACGCACTGAGACTTTCTTCTCAAAGAAGTCACTTTTGCAATTCTGTGGCCGAAAAGGGTAGAGTCCTGTTAGTTCTTGTGATAGTCTCAAGCCTTCTTTTCTATTGTTGTCTTCTGAAATAGTTGGCTTTCTCT